GGGGGGGTGTTAGAACGAGGCGTTTTAGGTAGGCGTGGCTGACTCTTAACTTTTATAAAGAATATCTCTTTGGATTTGAGACTTTAGTCTTTGCAACTTTACAGATCTTCTTTATGCACCAAGAGCTTGTAACACTCCAAAGAGAAAGGAAACATTGAAATTGCATCATATGACCCCTTTAAATGCCAACTGCATTCTTCCCAGAAGCTAATTGTAATACCACGTGTGTTTTTAATAAATAATTACACCAGTAAAAGATTAACTGATAATTGCATAAATGCACAATGGAAAAGCTTTGATTATAATGATAATTTACTACATTCAATACAAAGGAAAGCATTGCATGGCATTATTAAAACAATATCAAGACAAATCTCTCAGTGACAACCATCGTAACACATAATCCCATAATCAACATTGATGACCTTTCATAACAGGGTAGGTAACCACTTGTACTAATGGTGCATCAGCTCTGTTGAATGAATAAGTGCACTGGAGGAAGTATATGATGCAATACACAGCAAGATAAGACTTTTACTGAGGGTTGCTAAAAAGTAAACTTGGTTCTCAAACAAAGGTGTGTAATTGTGCCGCAAAAGTTCAAAAGTTCCTGTAGCTCGAATGAGCCCACAGATAACTTTCTGAACGTTGTGGGTAACCGTATCAATGTACTGCCAGTAAAGGGCAAGTTCTTCTGAAGTCGCAAGTTGTTTTTTTGCAAAACTAACCAACTTCCTGTCAAGGCTTTAATGCTGACAGGCCACAGGGACAGGTCTGCTACCTACCAAGACCACAAAAACAGAAGAAAGTGTTTAGCAAGCAGAGCGTAGATGAAAGAAAAAAACCTTTAAGTAAAAATATGATTGCACAAGACTCCAAATTAGTTATGAGCTCTGTGCCATGTTGTGTTGCAGGGCATTCTTAAGAGTATAAAAACATTAACCCCTTTTGTCTCAAGATGCATATTAGTAATGTTTTTTAAGGCACGTTTATAAAAATTACTTAAATGTTCTAATTGATAGCATGGCATAATCCTGACTTAGTCTAAACTCTGTCTGTGAAACCAGGCCTATGATATATGTATATATATTTTTTTTCAATATTATACTTAAACAGAGGTTCTGTAGTCTGTTACTGATTCCAAATAACATGAAAAAAATTGTAGTTAGTAACATAATCCATTACATTACACATTTTAGGTAATATAATCAACTACTTTAAATGTTAAATAACATGAAAAAAATTGTAGTTAGTAACATAATCCATTACATTACACATTTTAGGTAATATAATCAACTACTTTTTGATTACTTTTGACCCAACTCGTTTATCACGTTGATTTAAATAGGATAATCTTATCATATTGATTATTATCATATTGAAAGAAAAATGCAAAGAAAAAGAAGTGCATTGAACATTACATTATGTCAAGGTTTACCAAACTGGGGTTTGTGAAGGAACTGCAGGAGGTTTGTGAGTTTAATGAAAAGCTAATAATTAATTAAATCATAAAAATGGTAAATTAAAATAAATCATTTTAAAATAACATCAGTCAAAACAAAACTCTTATTTTAAAAAAAATATATATTTAATTTGTTTACCTGCATGTAAATACATTAGGCGAAAGAGGTTTTGCTGACAAAAAAAAAAAAAAGTTTGGGAATCCCTCCATTAAATGTAAATAAGAAATAATGTGAATTTGTGGATTTTAATGTGTTTGCAAGAAGACTTCCAAAGACATGGTAATGCGTGGTTAAATAACTAACTGAGTGATAATTAATGTGTTTATCAGTTTATCAGTAGTTGGTGCAATGTTGAAATGTTAAGAAAATACTTCTTAAAATTGAAATGATTTCTGTAAATCCAGTGGTCAAATGCTGTGTGTCCTCTCGAATTTATGTTTAATTATAGCCACTTGATAGTGACTGGTCTTTGTGTGAACATCCACAAAACTGGAAGACTTTGTGAATATATATTCAGAATGTATAATAGGCTATTTTAGAAAGGAATATTTAAAAGATGAAAATAAGGAATTAGGGAGAATCAATAAATTATGAAAAATGTATTGCTGTTGTGTGAATATGTAATCAATAAATAAGTAACTGTAGTCTGTTCACAAGTATTTAGAATGTAATTTAATCTAATTACAAGTACTTAATTTTTGGAATCTGATTACGTAATCCAGATTACATGTAATCAGTTACTAGCCAGCTCTGTACTTAAACTAAACACAAACATTTTGTATTTCACTCCCATTTTTAATAGTTTTTATTCTTGCTACAGTAAGTCAGTTATGGTCTGATAATGATTTCAGAGCTCTTCTTTTCTGTTCAGCTCTTCTGGATGTGATGTCATAAACCAGAACGACAACAATAGCCACGCCCACCAGAGCAGAGACGACCAATTGGATCACAGCTTCAGTTGAATTACAACAGCAGACACATTCTGAAGGAAAAAGAAGAACTAAATAAATATCAGTATGTGGAATGATTGATAATATGCTGCTGATGTGCTGGTCAGTGATGGTTTGATGGTACCTGAACATGGTTGACAGAGTTCGCTGATGTCCAGATGTTGAGTCTGGTTGCTGATGGGATTGTTGAGCACACAGCTGTAGGTGTTTTTATCCTGATATTCCACCTCCAGAGGTAGAGAGAGACTGATGCTGAGATCAGACACACTGATGCTGGACAATAAACTGTTTCCTTTGTACCAGGAGAGAGTCACATGACTCACATTCACCACTGAACACAGCAGCACGCATCTGGACGCTGATGATCCTGATGAAGGATTTTGAGGACAGTAACTGGTGATGACAGGAACGGGAAGACGAGCTGGAAAACATTAGAGAAATATAAATCAATCAGAATAAATTGTTCGTGTCTGAGTCTGTGGCTTTTTACTCACCAATGACGGTAACATTGAAAGTTTTCCTTGACACTTGTTGTCCAATCATCTGTGCTTTATAAAGTCCAGAGTCTGTGGTTCTGGTGTTCGTGATGGTGAGAGATCCAGTCTGATGATCCAGCTGCAGTCTGTCTCTGAATCTGTCATGAGTTTCAGAGATGACTTGGGATGATATGTTGAGTTTAGCGATACAATAGTCTCCGCACATCCACATGATCAGATCGTCCTCTTGTATTTTAGTCACACCAGTCGGTAGGGTGAACGAATCGCCCTCCATCACCGACAACGACTCGATTTCATCTGCCTCAACCCCAAACACACCTGAAACATGCAAGAGCACTTTCTCAATCTGACTAAACCGCTCGTGTAACTTTCTGCTGGTTCACTACTTCAGAATTCATTATCAAACCACTTTAGCACTTTGCACGCACACCAGGCCGGTTTTCAAACGGTCAGAGTAAAACCACAAATTTATACGATTGTCAATGAGGACAAAGCCAAAAAAAAAGAAGGAAAAAACGAAACAAAACATGGCTTAAAGTTTCATCTCATTGGTGAAGCTAGCTTTTTTTTTAAAAAATAGCTTTTCAGTATCACAGCTGTTTTATTTATATTAGTAGGATATGATCATTCATTGTGAAATGCTACAGCGTTGTATGTTAATAAATATGCAGTGGGTAGTAACCAGTGTTGGGGGTAAATCATTACAAGTAACGCGAGTTACGTAATCAGATTACTTTTTTCAAGTAACTAGTAAAGTAACGCATTACTTTTTAATTTACAAGAAAATATCTGAGTTACTTTTTCAAAAAAGTAACGCCAGTTACTTTGTTTTCCCATTTGACTGACAGCTCTCCTGTCCCCATATTGGGAGAAATCGGAAGTGCAGAGGCATTGTGTGCGCTGTGTGAACATGATGTAGTTCTAGACTAAATGTGAATGTGCATTAATTCATACCACTCACAAAAAACAGATTTAGTATTCATCAAAATGAATTAAAACAGTGAACTGCAAACTCAGAATATGACGCAAACCTGCAATAATTAAATATGTTAAATAACACAAATGTATCCCATTTTATTAACCAATGTCTTTGCTGCTGACCTTTGATGATCCAGTTCAACCATACTTATAGGAAAAAATGACTTTAGATAAATTAACAATTGTGCTTCATTGTTTTTTTTTTATTGCTGAAGAGTGTTCTTCTCCTGCGTTCTACTGTACAGACGTGAATTTACTTTTGCTTCAGCCTGAGGTTTATTCATTACACTTTTTGGTGTGAAAGGGCTTTTATATTTGCTATAAATAGAACTTCTTATATTAAAAACAATCAAGCCCTGCTTATATTTAAAAAGTAACGCGAAAGTAACGCAAAAGTAATATAACGCATTACTTTCCATAAAAAGTAACTAAGTAACATAATTAGTTACTTTTTTAGGGAGTAACGCAATATTGTAATGCATTACTTTTAAAAGTAACTTTCCCCAACACTGGTAGTAACTGATTACATGTAATCTGGGAAAAAATGTAGTACTTGTAATTTGATTATATTACATTTAAAAATACTCGTGATCAGACTACAGTTACTTTTTATTGATTACATACATATTAATCACACAATAGCAATAAATTATTCATAACTTATTGATTCTCCCTAATTCTTCTTTTCGTCCACCTTTCATTTACCTTTCTAAAATAGCCTACCTAAAATTGAGAGGTCACACAACATTTGACCACTGGATTCACAAAAATAATTTCAGTTTTAATAAGTGTTTTCTCAACATTTCAACATTAAATCAACTACTGATAAACACTAAATCACTCAGTGGGTTATTTAACCATGCCTGTGGAAGGCTTTTGTCTTAAAATGCATGATATGTATATATATTTCATTCTCTTTGTATTTTTATATCAGTATGGTACATGATTATCCTATTTAAATCAACGTGAGAAACGAGTTAGGTCAAAAGTAATCTAAAAGTAATCAAAAAGTAGTCTGATTATATTACCTAAAATATGTAATGTAATGGATTACATGGATGCAATGGATTACGTCACTAACTACAATTTTTGTCATGTAATTTGGAATCAGTAACGAACTACAATTTGCAATTCAGCGTAAAAGCCTCACTCACTCAAATTAATCATTTGGCGGTTCGTGCAAACTGCAGTCACAGACCTTTGACACGTTTAGCCAGTTGTTATACTGTCCTAAACTCACCATCAGTTCACCATGTCAACAACTTCACAGTATAAGATTAACAGAAATAAGCCAGATATATTTTAAATTGATTACTCTGCAGTCCGAATATAAAGATGCATAGTACATATAAAACACCATTAACACATGACAACAGGTTTACTGATAACCAGCACTACATTAAAATGATGCATCCAAAATGCATTTTAGGGGTAGAGAAAAAAAGCTTTTTTCCTTCAAATTATTTTTTCCGTAAAAAATTGCTTAGCACATCAGTTTTAGCATAGCTAGCTATATAGCTTGCTAAACATTGCAACAAAAAAAAAACTAAATAAAAAAAATAATAAAAAATTTAAAAAATTAAAATTAAATTATCAGTAAAATGAAAATTAAAACAGGTTCAGACATTTTGATAGCTGTTGTAAGGAAATGTAAACCCTTTAGTAATTTTAAACAGTTTTTACTCCATTTTAAAACTGCAAGAGCTAAAAAGGCTTAAAAAGGCATTTTTACTTACCAGCGAGGTGCCAGAAGCACAAACCAAACAAAACAAACCCATGAAGCATTTTTATCAAACGTTTGCTGTGCTGTCTGAGAGAACATCACTCGAAATGTGACCAGTCCTCCCCTATTTTACACCCTCCCCGTGCACACGCACTAACTGTGCATTTGCATTTGTTCTACTTGCATATTTAACTGTTGATAGAAAGTATTCTATACGTCTTCTCTTTATTATTTATGACAGCCAATCATGTTTAGGGTGGGCCTATATGTCAAAACTGCTTATATTAAAAGAAGTAAAACTCAATATCTTACTTTACTAGTGTGTAGACTGCAACCTACTAAAGTGCAATTTCTCGTAATGTTACATTGGTTTCAATATTAAATAGTCATTGGCAAATGGATACCTAATTTTAAATATTATTATTGTTGATAGACTAACTACTTTAACAGTTTATTTATTTTAACAGGAAAAAGTCTGTGGTTCATGTTAGCAAGACAGGAAGAAGCCATTCAACCGCATGCAACACAGACACAAACACAAGCTATTCCGTCCACTCGACAAAACAAAACCACATTTCTGTGTAGCCTAGATAAAAAGAAATCAGATCCAGGTTTCAGTTAACTGTTGAAAAAACCAGCATATGCTGGTTAGGTATGTTTTGACGCTGGGATGCTGGTTTAAGCTGGTCCTTTGCTGGTTTATGCTGGTCCTTTGCTGGTTTATGCTGGTCCTTTGCTGGTTTATGCTGGTCCTTTGCTGGTTTATGCTGGTCCTTTGCTGGTTTATGCTGGTCCTTTGCTGGTTTATGCTGGTCCTTTGCTGGTTTATGCTGGTCCTTTGCTGGTTTATGCTGGTCCTTTGCTGGTTTATGCTGGTCCTTTGCTGGTTTATGCTGGTCCTTTGCTGGTTTATGCTGGTCCTTTGCTGGTTTATGCTGGTCCTTTGCTGGTTTATGCTGGTCCTTTGCTGGTTTATGCTGGTCCTTTGCTGGTTTATGCTGGTCCTTTGCTGGTTTATGCTGGTCCTTTGCTGGTTTATGCTGGTCCTTTGCTGGTTTATGCTGGTCCTTTGCTGGTTTATGCTGGTCCTTTGCTGGTTTATGCTGGTCCTTTGCTGGTTTATGCTGGTCCTTTGCTGGTTTATGCTGGTCCTTTGCTGGTTTATGCTGGTCCTTTGCTGGTTTATGCTGGTCCTTTGCTGGTTTATGCTGGTCCTTTGCTGGTTTATGCTGGTCCTTTGCTGGTTTATGCTGGTCCTTTGCTGGTTTATGCTGGTCCTTTGCTGGTTTATGCTGGTCCTTTGCTGGTTTATGCTGGTCCTTTTGCTGGTTTATGCTGGTCCTTTGCCAGCACATGACCAGCATAAACCAGCAAAGGACCAGCTTAAACCAGCAAAAGGACCAGCAAAGAACCAACTTAAACCAGCATCAAAACATACCTAACCAGCATATGCTGGTTTTTTCAACAGGGCAGAAACTGAGCTAGTCAGTCTTCTCTTGATCTGCTTATAGAATGTGATAATGAAAACCAAGCCAAATACCAATACTGTTTTTGTTCCTAATACAACATTAACCATTTTCAAAAATCAGACCTAATTTTATAAGAACAGACATCATTTTGATAAGAACACGTTAGTTTGATACTTTGATTTGAGGTCAATCTGATTTCATGTTGACTTACAGTATGTATATTATGCACCCACAAAAAGTCATATCAACTCCTCTGTTTTCATGGTCATCAGGTGGAAATGCATTGCACACCTGCAGGACACAAACACACACACAAAAATGCGTTTTACTGCGTTGAACGACTCGTATGAGGTAAAGTTACCGGTACTTTATTTTATTGAAAACAGCTCTGTTATCTGAAGCCCACGTGATTACACGTAACTGGGAAAGTCATAAGGAAAAGATAAGTAAAGCTCAAAACAGTTATAAAGTTAATGTTTTTGTTTGCAGGGGACGACGTGACTCAATATCCTTCAGGATCCCACGGGAGGAACTTCCTGACATTTTGGATGCCACCCGCCATAAAACTTGAAGAAGAAGAACTTCCTGACATTTATCGAATTCTTTCTTCCGTTCTTCGGAACGCGTATTTCTTGGCTTATCAGCAGTGAAATAATAAGGAATACGACTCCGAAGACGAATATAATTCACAAATGAATTTCAACGGGTACAAAATATCTCTATACAGTGTTAAGTCGGTTACATACAATAATGTTAGTTAGAAAAGCGTGTTGTCGCTGTCCGCGCAGGTGTGTCTGATACGAGCTAGTTAAATGCTAATCACTCGAAAACACAACGTAGCATTTTACTAACTACACTCATCATCTTTACTCACCAAAATGAAGACCCCTGTTTTACTTTTATGCTTTTTGATCGCGAAAGGTGAGTATTTAAAAAGCTTTAGGCTTTCAGTTTCACTTTGTAGCTCTTTAACAGCTTTGCTTGAATTTAAGTGTGCATTTGTAATCAAACTATATATGTAAATTTATTTTGTTGTTGAGCGATATACGTAGGTGTAATATTGACATAATTTATCAACCACAATCACACATATCTGCTCATTCTGTGTTCGTGTACTACTACCATTTCCCACAAACAGCTAGCCTACTAACCTTTTGAACTTGATCAAGTCTTATTAGCTGATTAGCATTTGGATTTGCTTAACGTTGTCAGTCTGAGCAAAGGTTTCTGTTTGTTCTCCAGGTGTGTTTGGTGCTGATGTGAAGTCAGTGATGGAGGGAGATTCTGTCACGCTACACACTGATCTTACTGATTTACAGGAATATGAACTTATACTGTGGACATTTGGACCTGGCAGCACCCGTATAGCTCAGATCAATAATGTAGTCAATAAAATCTCGCTATACAATGATGTTCTTGATGGGAAATTCAGAGACAGACTGCAGCTGGATGATCGGTCTGGATCTCTGACCATCACAAACAGCAGAACCGAAGACTCTGGACTTTATGAACTGCAGATCATTGGTGGAAAAGACGTCCCACCCAAGAAATTCAGTATTTTTGTTTCTGGTGAGTCGTTTTGTAGTTGAATTCCTGTTGATTTCGGTGTATTGCACCATTGAACCATACTGAGAACACTGTACTAGTCAGTCAGCAGGTAAAATGCAAAATTAGCCAAGTCGCAAGTTACTTTGGTAACTTTACGATCCTTAACCATACTGAGAACACTGTACTAGTCACCTGAGTCAGTCAGCAGGTAAAATGCAAAATTAGCCAAGTCGCAAGTTACTTTGGTAACTTTACGATCCTTCAATCATCCCATATCCTCTTGGAGACAAAGCCAAGCTGAATGTACAGTATCGGGTTTCTTTTGTAAAGGGTAATATGAGACCTGAGTCACAGCCTGGTATGTGTAATTTGTGGCGAGTGACCCAGAGAGATAAAGCTAGTGGAAATTTTTCAGTTATGTAGGTGATGTTTAGGACTTTTAAAATTGTATCTTTTTACTAGTATTATGGTTTATTTCCTAGTCACTGAGATGACATGGATGCTGGTTAATAGATACGTGTAAAACTCAACTGCACAATTTTGGATTGTATGTTTATTCTGTTGTGTTTTCCATCTCCAGCTCCTCTGCCTGTTCCTGTCATAAGCAGTAACTCTTCAGTGTTCTTCATCATCATCATCATGTTCACTGGTGTGTTCAGTGGTGAATGTGAGTCATGTGACTCTCTCCTGGTACAAAGGAAACAGTTTATTGTCCAGCATCAGTGTGTCTGATCTCAGCATCAGTCTCTCTCTACCTCTGGAGGTGGAATATCAGGATAAAAATGCATACAGCTGTGTGCTCAACAATCCCATCAGCAACCAGACTCAACATCTGGACATCACTCAACTCTGTCACACATGTTCAGGTACAGCAGCGCTGATATTAACCGATTTGTCCACTGGAAGCTTCTGTCACCAAGACAAATTCCTTGTGTGTGTGTAAGCACACTTTGCAATAAAGCTCTTTCTGATTCTGATTTGTTCGGTTCTATACTTTTTCTACTAGCACATCAAAAGATTTATTTATGTTTTTCTGATCTACTGTTTAATAGTGGATGCATCAAGTTTAACCCCAGAAGACGGCTTATCCTTTGGTCACATGGTGCTGATCTGCGTTGTTATTGTAGTTACTGTACTAGTCTTGGCTGTAGTTGGGATGTTCAGTATCTACTGGAAATATAGAAAAACAGATCAACCGGGTAAGTTCACTCACATTTAATAGAGATGAATAATCAATAAATCATTCACAAGATGAGCTTTATTGTGCAAGCATGTAATTTTTATGACATTTACTGTATGTAATTGATTTACTTCACTATAACTGATTTACTTACCGGATTCATTTTTTTCCGTGGTTTATTGCACTTTTAATATCTTCTTTTAATAACAAGCATGTCTCACTCTTTGGTCATTCATCCAAGTTTATTTATCGCTCTTATTGCTTTATCAGAATAGTATTGGTACGATTTGTTTGAAAAGTAGATTGCGCACCCCTAATCCAGTCTGTAATCAAATGCCATTACAAAGTTGCTTCTGCTGTGGTTATTAGCACTTGTACTGAATATTTACTCTCTGTCTAGGTTCTCCAGGTGATGATTTGGCTGAGACCGATGAACTGAAGACAGTGTCAGTGAGGGTGGGAGAGTCCATCACTCTAAACACTGGTGTTACTGCAATACGAAGTTTTGATGTGCTGCAGTGGAGGTTTGGAGAATTAAACACAGACAGCACAAACCCATTCACTGTCATCGCCAAACTGAATGAACCAAACAATTTTGATGGTACTGGTCATGATGAGACATTGAGACACAGCTACAGACGCAGAGTACAGCTGGATCAAAAAACTGGTTATCTTATAATTAATGACATCAGACCCACAGATTTTGGCATTTATAAACTAAATATCTCCAGGAATGGGAGAAATATGATTTCCAAGTCATTTATCGTCCGAGGTGAGAAGCTCAAATCATTTAGAATAAAGATCCATTAACACTGTGAACAAGTTAGATGATCTGAAATGACCAATTAATTCATGCAGCTTTGTTTCAAACAATAATCTTTTGATTTTTTTTTTACAGATTCCTCAGAAAACGGAGAGAATGTTCCAGAGGAGACAATAACATTAATGAATGGAGAGATTACTGCAAACACTCGTCTATAGCGACTGTTACATTATCCTTATTTATATAAAACTTCTCTACTTTTATGAGCCTTTAAAACTAGACAATGTGTTTGAAATGAACGCTGCATACTGTTAACCTGTGAAAAGTAACATAACAAAGGGTTGCTTTTGACTTTACACTAACTTTTGTTGTTGTTTTACAGTTGATGGAATGTTTTATGCAGATATTCCTGTTACATTGGTGTCAATTTTACAGTTTGATCAGTGTTAATGAACAAAACATTTTTGAACGGTTTCTGCCCTCTAATGGACAATCTGTATTTAAGGGTGTGTGTTTGTAAATAGTTGTAACCAATAATGTGAAGGAGAGGCTGCAATTTTGGTCTGAATGTAATTTCAGCCTCATTAAGGACAAAGTATTAATTTATTTTATTACTATTTAATAATAAAAATAAAAAACTTGTTCTTTTAAAGTAATTGTCCTATAAATTTAGGGAAACCCTTAAGGAAAACCTTATTCCATAAATGCAAAACACTATATATATAGTTCAGTCATGAAACTAGATGGCGCAGGCGACAGGTTGTTAACATAACTGATGATATTCAGAGAGTTAAACGGCTTTGCACAACTGATTGGTTCATGCTGCATATGCAGCCAATGAGCTTAATGCCTTGCATTTATATGGCTGGCTAGCATTCACTAGAGATTCTTGCAGCGCGCTTTCAGAGTTTCTCTGAAACCCTCCACCTTCCCCAGCTCCACCTGTATAGATCTGCTACGGGTTATTTTATATGCTATTTGTGCAGCAGCAGCATGTCTTAAATACTCACGGCACCGTATCACCATATGCATTGGCAGTAGCAAGTTCCTGTACTTGCTTGCAGCAGCAGCAATAATCTACAACTACAGCAATAACCAACAGCAGCAGCAATTCAGCAGCAGCAGTGTAGCAGATCTATTTCGCCGAGACCAAATACATTAACATTGTCAAATCCATCACCATGCTAAAATCTTCCGAGAGTTGTCATGATTGAAATATATATATACACTAGTCAACATTTGAAGTGGATCAAAACCTTTCACCAAAGTTGTCCTAAAACCAAAATGTGTTCTTGTCTTAGGACAACTTTTATGAACTTTTTTGATCCACTTCAAATGTTGACTACTGTATATATATATATATATGTGTGTGTGTGTGTAATGGAGTTTAAATAATGTTAGTTAAATTCATGCATAAATTGGGAAAACTCGCCATTGGCTGTTGCATTACTCGCATTTGCCCACATGATATTGCGGGGCGGAGCTACCTCATCAGCACCAGATATCTCCCTGCTACTAAGACTTCTCATGCAACATCGATGCAATGTATTCTAACCAGCCTTTTGGTCGTGTTTGTCCCAGTTTTGTCTGTCAGGCCCAGTAAAGCAACCTTGGGTGACCATACACCTGATCTCAGTGTGAATTACTCCCCAAAACACACACACACACACATACATATATGTTTTTTTTTTTTATCCTGATATTCCACCTCCAGAGGTAGAGAGAGACTGATGCTGGACAATAAACTGTTTCCTTTGTACCAGGAGAGAGTCACATGACCCACATTCACCACTGAACACAGCAATGAACATGATGATGATGATGATGGTGAAGAACAGTTTCTTCTTATGACAGGAAAAGGCAGACGAGCTACAAAAGATTAGAAAAATCAGAGTAAATCAAATCAACTAAGTAAAAGGGCTGCAAGTCACTGTTTAACATTTATTAGGCCAGTGTGCTAGAAACTTGTAAGCACACTGCAGTACTAGTCACCAATTACAACTGGGCTATTAATCAAACTATTCAAACAAAAATTAAAGTCTCACAAATGAAGTAAAGAGCTAAACACATCAAAGAGTAAAAACTATATTAGCCTGGGTTAGCACAGGTTATTCTACTTGTTTGCTCTGCTGTGTGCCTGTATCGATTTATCATATTACACAAACTATGCATTGTTTTGACACTGTTGCAGCTAATGCTTAACATTGAAACTTCGAAATAATTTGAGGAGCGTGCACTAATATTTTCAGTTCCATTCGTTTGTCTCAATGACACGCCCACAATATGGGAACTAATGAATATTCATGTAAAGAAACATAATAAATGTGATAACCCATTTTTTCATAACATTCCATCCTGGAGTTTTTTTGTTTGTTTGTTTTGCTTGGGTCCTTTCTAGTGAGTCCTGTTTTACTCAAGGCCCAATTTTAAGAGTACATCTTAAGGTCTGTGCTATGTGATACGTCGTGCAAAGTCAATGGCCAGGGCCAAAGAGGCTTGAAATTTTCATGCAAGTATATCTATATCAGGCATAAGTGCATGGGTTGTATAGAAATCATTAATGCAGAGCACAAAAACTATTTGTGTGTTATGTTATATTGTACATTAACAAATTATGTCTTCATTTACATGGACCAGGAAGGTATAAAATCACCATTGGCATATATATACATACACACCTTTGTCCTAACTCTTTGATAAACTAAACTACAAGGAGTTGGTCACTCCCTTTGCCAAAGGACTCTGACCTTTCTTTGATTCAGAACTCAGATTGTTAGGATAATTAAAAATATGATAACAGAAGACCTACACCAGATTTTGGTTCACCTGTTTGCATTTCACATACTTACTGTGTTGTGGTTTTGCGATTGAATCTCTATCTGAATAACCATTTCTATTTGTTCTGCAGGTGTGTCTGGTGCTGAGACAGATGCAATAGAATCAGTATCAGTGATGGAGGGAGATTCTGTCACTTTACATACTGGTGAAACATAGACAGAAGATCTGAAAGTGTGGACCTTTGGACCTGAAAATACGGTCATAGCTATGAACTCTGAAATTAAGATATCTAGAGACAGATTTCTGGTGAACCAATCAACTGGATCTCTTACCATCAAGAACATCACAGCTCATTTTTCTGGAATATATCAATTAAATGTCGTCAGGAAGAGCACATACAAGACATTTAATGTTACTGTCTATGGTGAGTAGCTCAAGTCTTTCAGTGGAATTATCTACTTTTAAGTTTGCATTAAAATAAATGTTACTTTATCATTTAAAATGTAAAGCAATTATACTTCCTAAAGGTCTATGATATGTTACTCAAGTTGTTTGGCCTAGTGATCTACTGTAAGTACTTTTGTAGAGGGGGCCGACATACTGATTGTGCGTTTACACTGCATGCTTAATGCACATATCCGATCTTTTGACCATATCTGATTTTTTTGGCCCACCTGCTTACATTCACTTTAGACACGAGTGGTATCCATTCAGTCAGAATTTGTGCTGCAGAACATCCATGACAGCTGTTGTCCATGCAGGCAAATAATAATGGCCACTCGACGTGAATTATAAAGTAATTTTAATTGCATGGCCATTTAAAACCCAAGGCTCTACCATGTCCATAGTAAGGCGATCACTGACAATCATTCTGGGCAGGAATTAATGTAAACACAAATACTGAATATCAGTCGTGTCTAAAGTGAATGTAAACAGACATTATATGCATTAAGACTTGCAGAGTAAACGCAGCCTTTGTGTATACACGCGTGCAACAAATTCTGATCTGTGTCAGATGTGAGCAAAAAAAATCTGAAGATTGCATTATTATTTAGATTCTGACTCCTCCCCCTACTCTTCCCCATTGGAAGCAGCACTTCTTAACACAGAAACACTTAAACATTAAGAATGTTATGTTGGGACTAAAGCGATAGATTCATTGACTAACTTGTTTAAAGTTATATCTATTCTTTCAACTCCTGTCATGATCATGTAAACTTGGTACAATTTGCATGCTATCAACGCAGGTTCATTCACCTCAAAACTCAAAAGGATGATTTAGACAACTTTACAACTCAAATAATGTATAATTGACTGAATAATTCATATAAGAGCTTTAACAAAAAACTTTATAAAAATAAAGCCAATTATTTAAAAAAAAAAATTATGCTAATAGATTTCAATAGCCAGTGCTTTGTTATTTGTGAACATTTCAAACTACTGCATTAAAGCGTCATTCAGATTTCTTTCAGATAAACATATAGATTTACCAATAAATGTTGATTTATCTGAAAATTATATTTTGCCTGTTTATTCTCTAATGCTTTCCAGCTCGTCTGCCTGTTCCTGTCATCAGCAGAGACTCTTCACAATGTTCTTCATCATCATCATCATGTTCATTGCTGTGTTCAGTGGTGAATGTAGGTGATGTGACTCTCTGCTGGTACAAAGGAAACAGTTTATTGTCCAGCATCAGTGTGTCTGATCTCAGCATCAGTCTCTCTCTACCTCTGGAGGTGGAATATCAGGATAAAAACAGCTACAGCTGTGTGCTCAACAATCCCATCAGCAACCAGACTCAACATCTGGACATCACTCAACTCTGTCACACATGTTCAGGTATGTACACCAATATAAAAATATGGTACTCCTACAAACTCTAAATTCTAATAGCAAAGCTCAGCTAAATAACTATACTAAGAAGGGCAAAGAGTTCAACAGGTCACACAGCATTTATATTACTTTTGTAGTGCATTATTAATGTCAGCTGATTAACTTTCCATTTTACGGATGCAGTTATGAACATAACCATGGATACATCCTTATAGCTATACTAGTGAAAACAAACAAACTCTGTGCCAAATAGTCTCACAGCTTAAATGGCATCAGTATGTCACAACCCTATATTGTCAGTTCCAGTGCATCTCCACAAGTTTCTAATGTCTCTACTTCTCTATTACAGCACAAGGACTGTCCTCTGGCATTAAAGTGGGGATAGGTGTTGTTGTCTTCCTGCTGGTAGCTGGGATGGGTGCTGTGGTTTACTATTGCTACAACAAATGTGCCAAAGCAAAAGAAAAAAATGGTAAGTGTTATACATACGGCTGATACAATGAGAAAACTATGTGAAATACCTTTGAAAAAAGTTAACTTTGTAACTACAAAAAATTGCTTGACTGTGCTAGAATTGTATTATTCTGCTACTCTTAATTAATTCATTGTTTAATAAAGTGATTAACAGATCAAACTCCTATGGAACAAGCTATTCCACTAAACAATGGTAAGGTATTATATTTCTTGATATACTGTATATATTAACACCTGACTGTTGTGTTTGAATGTATGAGATGTGGCTTCATTCATTTTACCCATTTCTGTTAAGGACATAATTGTATATTTGTCTAAAGAATTAGAGTTATGTCCAGCATATGAAATACTGGGTTACTGCCTGAGAAGGTACAGAGTTAGTACAAAACCAGACTTAGTCCAAACCACAATCTTTTTAGCAATTAGCTAAATGGCCATTGCAAGTAATGCTATGGAAACCTGACGTCACAGTGCAATGCATTGTGGGATTTTAGGATACGGGGACATTGACGAAAAATAGATTTTCTATTAATGAGAATACACGTATTATTCCATAAAGAACAATTATGCAGGGGAAATTTGTGTTTGTATAACAATTTCCAATATAATACTTAAACTGAAATCAACATCCTGACCCTCAAGAGCCAAAATGTATAAAATTCTAGAAAAAAAATAGCGAGTGAGAAAATCACTTTTTGCGGTGAACTAAACTAATTTCATCCCAGAGAACAAAATGAGTGGTCTGAACAAGAACAAAACAAAAAACAATAACACTGAAACCACAAGATGTGATTGACATGTTTCATTGAATTAAGTCTGAATATTGAACAGGTCGAGTTCTTGGGGAAGAAGCTGATAACCCAAATAATGGTAATATATTGTATTACTGTGTGCACTGAATCTCTGTGTGTTTGAGGACAAATCATTTTAACATCTTTGTCTTCAGTAGTTGAAGAAATTGCTTATCAGCAGAGAGATTTACCAGATGGTAAGTTACTGTAAAACAATGTGCATTTTCATTGTCCATTACATGTAATCATAATTAACAAAAAATGATTATTGTTCAAACAGGTCAGGAAGAACGTGGTCCACTTATTGACGGTAAGATGTTGAGTTTCAGTTGTGTGCTTTTGCTTGTAAAAAAATCAGCCCTTGAAATATTAAGATCTGCTATTTTTATAGTAAACAGATGACTAATTAGGAGAGATATTTATGATCATTTCGACAGAGAAAAGCAGAGTTTTATGCTCTGAAGTAAAAAATATGAAAGTCACAATCAATATTCCAGGGTTTTGTGTTTATAGATGGTATCGTGTTGTTGGCTAGGTTTGGGAAACCCAAAGGCCTGATGGACGATTGATCTGGCCATCATTTGCATGCTATATTTTAAGTACACTAGCTTAGTATGTGGAAGAGAGCAAAATTTAAGATGTTCACTGAAAAGCTTCCCCTCTGCAGTAGCCATAAGTTTCTGCCTCGGGTTTAATGATATTTGGAAAAGTGCAGGCTTTGGGACATACTGTACTACTTTGTCATAATTTAACAGACTGCTCTGATGCTTGGTTACATGCATTCTGTCATAGTTACATAGCCTTGTCATAATTTACGTCTTTAATTTAATATCCTACTGTATTAGAGAGAAATGAAGAAGCCAGTTGTGGGTCTTTAATGCAGAGAACTCTCCTGATATTTTTGCATAATGACAAATTAAAAATGTAATGACCAAATGTATCTTTATGAAAGTTCACAATGTTATTGCAGATGAAATTTTATTTGGATTATACTGAATATTCGTCAGGTTAGATGTTGCTTATTAATCATTCAAACCCTATCTAAACCGCTCCACTTAACCATCGATCTTACATATCCAGCATGTTTGTAGTTTTTTTAATTTATTATTATTCATGTTTGTAGACATAATCAAAACATCATCCAACATGCAATGGGTTGTGGGCAATATTAGTTGTTAGAGTGTGCACAAATCGGCACTTAGAATTTACTCTGGAGATTGGGTACCTTTGGGATACAAATCTTGTGCTGACAATCTTGTGCTGATAATGTCTTTTGCAACCAGAGTTTGTGCATTAGTGATCGCAAGCACGGCTGTCAATCATGACATCCCACCCAGTTTTTATAGCATCAAATAACTAACTAAAACCAAACATATTGGAAAAAATGAGCACTTGAAAATACACCAGTGTGATAAGCGTAATTGGATCTTTTGGTTTGTCTCGCGTCCCATTCGATTGCATGGAGAAGAAAGGGTTTATGACCTATAACTTATTCTAAATTGGAATGCTATTTAAAGGAACACTCCACTATTTTTGAAAATAGGCCCATTTTCCAACTCCCCTAGAGTTAAACAGTTGAGTTTTACCGTTTTTGAATCCATTCAGCCGATCTCCGGTAGCACTTTTAGCTGTAGCTTAGCATAGATAATTGAATCTGATTAGACCGTTAGCATCTCGCTCAAAAACAGACTGCTCTGATGCTTGGTTACATGCATTCTGTCATAGTTACATAGCCTTGTCATAATTTACGTCTTTAATTTAATATCCTACTGTATTAGAGAGAAATGAAGAAGCCAGTTGTGGGTCTTTAATGCAGAGAACTCCTGATATTTTTGCATAATGACAAATTTAAAATTTAATGACCAAATGTATCTTTATGAAAGTTCACAATGTTATTGCAGCCTTTAAGATGGATAGTATGTGAATTGAGACGAGGCATCTGAATTTCAACAAGTTTCATTTACATACATAACAATTCAACTTCCTGCATGCTGTGGCCAGTTCACTTCAAATTCACATTCATGAATTGAAAGAGAACCTGTTCTTTCATAATTTTGGCCAAATCTGGATGAAACTTTTTTTTTTATTAGATATTAGCCCACAGTTTCTTTGTATGATTGTAGGAGGTCAGACATTACTTTAAACTAAATTAAGTTGACCACAGGGAAAAATAAATCTAATAAATAGAGCAAAAACAAAAAGGAACGAAAGTGCAACACTGAAACCACAAGATGTAATTGACATGTTTCATTGAATTAAGTCTGATTATTGAACAGGTCGAGTTCTTGGGGAAGAAGCTGATAACCCAAACAATGGTAAGATATTGTATTACTGTGTGCACTGAATCTCTGTGTGTTTGAGGACAAATCAGATTAACATCTTTGTTTTCAGCAGATGTGATCATAATTAACAAAAATGTGATTATTGTTCAAACAGGTCAGGAAGAATGTGATCCACAGCAGGGTAAGAATTGAATGATACACCTCCATTACACCACCAACTGTGAACAACTTTACCATAAATTGCATAAATCTCAGGTCTATCTCAGGAATCTATCCTGGCTCACTGATTTAGCTGTTTGACAACCTGAAGTTGTTTTGTTTTGTATTCAACAATTCAAACTCTATCAAACACTTTTGTGAGATTTTAGCTTGAAGAGATTGTGCTAGCTTTGCTTAAATAAAAAAAGCCTATACTGTTGTGCTCTATATCAGTTCAATAAATGGCAGTTTTGTCTTGAGACCATACGCTAAGACCCAGGCAAAACAGTAGTTTTGTTCCAGGATCAACAAGGATGTTGATTCAGGAACATGTTCTACAAAACCACAGATTTTTTTGTGGCATAAGATTTGTTTGACAAGGCCCTTTCCCAGTTGCATACTACACTACACATGTTAAAACTCTTTTGTCTTGAAAACCTTTTTTTCTCCAGATATGTTTCATTCCGAACCAGATCAACTGAAGAAAATAACAGTGAAGCAAGGAGAAACAGTCACTCTAAAGACTGGTGTTACTGACATGCAGAGAGATGATCTGCTACGGTGGAAGTATGCTGATTCCAGAGTATCTGAATCCACAACCTTATTTAGTGTCATCGCCGTATGCAATAAAAGGACCGCTAGGATCGCAGTAAAGGAAGGTCCTGGAGGGAAATTCAAAGACAGACTACAGCTGGACCATCAGACTGGAAATCTCACGATCAAGAACATGAGAGTCAAAGACACTGGGCATTTTAAACTAGAGATCAAGAACAACAAACATCAGCTGACAAAAACCATCAAAGTCAATGTCTGTGGTGAGAAGCATAAGTATTTAGAAGTGTTTGAAATGTTTCTCTTATTCTTACTCCAGCTTCCATTCTGACCCTTGTGTTTGAGCCTAGTCAGTTATTATAGCCATAGTATTAGTAATAATAATAATAAATATAACAAATTTAGAATATGTTTCTATCTTAAACACTTCACTTTCACAGTAGTAGTGTTTTAATAGCCTCATCTCCAAATAAAGAGTATATAAATCTCCATGCCTGTGTATAATTGCAATAAGGCAGTTGTAATGTAAAAAACTTGCTAGGCCTAACACTGAAACTTGTGTTTGAAATGAAGAGTCAGGTGATGCAGTTTTTCTTTTGACATTAATGTGAAGAGTTTCATTTGCCATACTGTGCAATTGAACACATTCCTTTCTCTCTCTTTTTACCTTGTGATTATGTTATTTTACAGCTTCCACAAAAAAGCAAGGGGACGATCCAAATGAGACAAATTTGTGCTTGATACCAGAAGAGGACCCCAACAACACTAGTACATATACTGTGGAGCCGATGGACACGGCCGATGAGGCCACGGATGAGGAGTTGTCCTAAAGTCATAATAGTCATAAATGGTGGGGAACAGCGACACAAGGTCACATGACAATGCCAATATGGTGGATTTAGTATATACGGATTGTATACTACACGCATGCATACTCACAGAACATACTTTTTAAATGGTTGAGAAGGTGTTCGTCAAGTGCAGTATGTATTGTACAGCATGCAAAAGCAGGCACACATCATGTGTTGAGGAGCTAAAGGTTTTCTTTTGATTTGGCATTAATGGGACAACACACTTCTGAACTGCTAGAATCATTAAACCCTGATTTTTTAAATGTAAACGTTATAGCTTTCATTCTTTTACTCCATGCATGTTTTATGTTGGCCGTTTGACTCCTCTTTTATATTTTATATTTATACACAAGCTTTAAAGACCCTATGAGAAATGTTAAAACTAACAGCTGCTAAATGTGTGGTTATGTGACCCTCTCCAAAGGATTCCTTTAACACAGTTTGTGTGCTTGACGTTTTTATGTAAATATGATTTTAGAAAAATTAGAATATTTTTGTTTTGTTTTGTACTATTGTTGTGAATCATTTTGGTGATACAAGACTCCACCTTAAATATTACTCCAATAGGTTATTAAGGAACCAAGCACAAATAATTGATCAATCCCATAGTAGTATGTATTGGAAAACACAGCTAATGATACATTTTCAATCAAAATTGTTAGAAGCAAAGCTACTATTACTTGGTTACACTCTAATACATTATCAATGCTACTCAGGTACCCTTATAGTATGGTGCTAAAGAATTACACAATACAGTAAAACTATAAATATGCTAATCTCTGGACCAAAATGGCAGTGCCAAAACATTTATGAAGCTCATATTGTACAGAAACTGTAACAGGGTTTATTTGCATCTTATAAATAAATTGGGAGTGATATTGTCATTAATGTTGATGTTAACTTGTAATGTGAGCATGTTGTGACATACTGAGGTTTTAATATTCAGTCTAATGTTTATTTACATACTGTGATATTTGAGATGTTCTTTGTAAATTCACTGTGAAAACACTCAGTATTATGAATGCAATATATTTTAGCGACTAATAAATTATAATAAAACCTCGCAAAGAGTTATTTGTTGATTAATACGTAAAATATAAATGTACAGTCGGTCATTATCTCAAACTAAACCCTGACAAGGTATTACCAAAGGGAAACGTATCTTTTAAATCATAAAATAAATATTGAGAAGTGTTCCCTTCATTCCCAAATGACTGTTTATAACATCATTTAAAGGGATAGTACGCAAAAAAATAAAAAATTTAAATCATGTACTCACCCTCAAGTTGTTCCAAACCTGTATGAGTTTATTTAGTCTATTGAACACAAACGAAGATATTTTCAAGAACATGGGTAACTGAACAGTTGTTAGTACCCAATGACTTCCATAGTAAGGGGGAAAAAACTATGGAATCAATGGGGACCAAAAAAGTTTGGTTATCAACAGCATAACAGCAACTTTTTTGTTCAGCATAATGAAAACTATACAGTGTTTCATGTACTCGTGTGATTTTTGTAGGCTATATCATCGTGCATTGAATTAAGCCCAATTGTCATGCATCACTAGCTTTAACATTTCTATCTTCATTGCAAACTCATAGAAAATCTTTGCCAGTCTGGAAAACTGAGACTTTTCAAAACTCCCTATTTCCTACAGGCAGCTACAAACTAAACAGATAAAACAGTCAACATACAGCAATTGTGCAATTGTTATATTTTGGTAAAGCTGGTGTTTAGCAGCTAGTTTCACAACCACAAAAGCCAAGAGGTCCTCTAAAACCACCAAACCAGACCAGCTTGGACAAGCAAGGAGACCAGTCAACCACTAGTTGGTTTAAATTACGAGCACATGTTGCTGGGAAACCGCAAAGAAAGCGGCAAACACCGCTAGCAAGGAAGTTTATTGTAAAGCATTACCTCAGTCAGGGGCTTCGCAGATGATCTAAGTGTCTGTCAGTTTGGGTTCATCGAGGACCGTAGCACGGCTGCAGATATGCAGTTTGTTGTGGAGAACAGTATCTAGCACAACGTTTATGTGTTTCTTTCCACAAAGGATGCATCTATTTAGCGGATCAAACACTGTACCTATGCTACTAATGTGATGCTTCAGCTTGACAAGCGTGTGGACATACCCCTGTTGAAAAAACCAGCATATGCTGGTTAGGTATGTTTTGACGCTGGGATGCTGGTTTAAGCTGGTCCTTTGCTGGTTTAAGATGGTCCTTTGCTGGTTTAAGCTGGTCCTTTGCTGGTTTAA